TGCTTATTCATATAAAATTAAAACCATATAAAAGAAACAAAAAACAATTCTACGATTAAATAAAGGAAAAATTCAAATAACACCATCTTCATTATCAAAACCGGAATTTCGTTTATCAATGAAATTATTAAAACGCTCACTATATATAGTGACTTTGTATTGTTTGTAATCAGATGAACTCCGATCTAAATCACCAACTATTTTACTTGGAATATTATGATTAATATTGATAAAATTATTATCTACAGTATTTTGCTAAAAATAACAAAAATTGGTTGCGGTTCACACGTATATCGTTACGATTATTATTAGTTGAGGAAAAATAATGGTAAGCATCTAATGTTTTATCTTCTGTTAACGGATAGATTCTTTGCTTCAACCATTGTCCAATGAGTCTGGAATTATGGTTGTTGTTATTTCTATTGCTGTTGTTACTATTGTTATTACAATTTTGTGAATAGTTAACTATTCCATAAATTACATTGTTATTGCGGCGATGATGAGTAATTCGGGCCATCTTTAAATTTTGATTTTTTTCTTTAAAAAGATACTTGAGTATTTGAAAATAGCAACAGAATTTATATAAAATTTTACGACTGAAGGAAATATTAAAATGAAAAAAAATAATAAATGAGAAAGCGAAAAAAAAATGCAATCATCGTCATCAGGCTAAATATTTAAAATCCAGTATTAAAATAAGTAAATTAAAACAATACTTTTCCTTTGATAAAATAGAATATTACTATAACGAGTATAACGAATGCTTTACTAAAATTTTATTTAACCTTTTTTAAAAAATTTTGTTATTGTGTAAACAGCTGTCATGTCATGTCAGGTTACCTATTTGAACATTTCTAAACACTCATACAATTTTTGATTCTTCGCCTCGTAAATATGTAAATGGAACTTGAAAACCCGGAGAAAGAGTAACCGGAAAAAAAGGATATCAATTACAATGATGTTCATATTCTATTACTATATAAATTTATTTTTTTTTAATGTAAATAAAATGATGACAAATATTGTCACAACAGATTTGTTTTGTGTCTAAAAAATTTTTCAACAAGTTAAACATGACGAGCAGACGGTATATGCAAGTTATGCTCAAAAGCGCAACAATAATTTTCGTGTTAGTTTACCATTACCTTTTGTCATAATCAAATCCGTTATAATGAGATTAGTAAATATACTTACTGCTTTCAAATTTAAAAAATCATATATTTATTAAAAAAAATTTTTATTTTCTATATAACTATTGATACAATTATTAAAGTAATTTCTATAATTTATGATTTTAAAGAAAATACCTTTAATAAAGCTTCATGAGTATTGGAGTCTCGGTAATTAACTGCCATTCTTTCTTTATTATATGTTTAATTACATGATTTTTTTTAAAGGTGTAATAAATAAATTTTTTAAAAAGATATATCTTGGAAGGTAAAATTACCAAGTAAAATAAGTCGCATATAATAAACTTTGTAAATATTAAAGTTATCCTGATGCATTGATACTCCTCTTTCTCTATTTTATAACTAATTATAAAGTTTATTTAAAAATTATTATATGTCAATTGAAAAAAATATGAATTCATTTTAAATTATTAAGCTACACAATATAATTTCAAGATCCGTCCTTACTACTACGCTAATAATATTATAATAATAATATAGGATCTATCTCAATTAACGATATAATAAAGTTACAAAAAAAAAAAAAAACAAATTATTATTATCCAATAATAATAAGCGGAATTATTTTTTAAAAACAGAAATGGTAATTAAATTTGATCACCTGTTTCAGATGGCCTGAGAGCTATTTATACAATTTATACAATAACAATAAAACAATAAAAGAATGTTTCATCAATTATGTAATCTTTTTATATATAAAAAGAACGTTTTATTCGCGAAAATGAAATTTTGTTTTTTATAAAACAATAATTAATAAATAAATTAAATATATAACAAAAAACTAAATTTATAATCAATATATAAAAAAAAAAAAAAAATGTATCAAAATTATTCTGACAATATTAATAATAATATCGATTCTAACGATAATATTGGTATTAATATGAATGATGTTAATGTTAATAATCAAGAATTTGTTCCTAATAATTACCACAATCAAACCACCGGCCACTACTCCAATAATTATTACATTCATAAAAACTCTGGAGAGAATAATTTCGGTCATCAAAACAGCCAGAACTCGGTCGAAAATAATTACATCGATCAAAACTCTGGTGACAGTAATTTGATTCATCAAATTAATTTCACCAACCAAAATTTGTGTATTGTCGACAATAATTTCGTTGATCAAAGCTCCACTGGAATAAACAACAATAATAACAATGATATTATTGGCCAGAACCCATCTATTGCTACAAGCATCAATTATCTGAACAATTGTTTTGACAATAATTTTGTTGGTCAAAATGCTCATCAAAATTCTATTATCGCGAATAATTTCATTGATCAAAACAATGATCAACTATTACTACTTATTCACATAGCATCTCAACTTCAAGATCTCCAAAATTTTCTATATAACAACAATAACAGACATTAAACATTAATAATACTAATACAATGGTTCATTATTCGTAATAAATACTGAAATAGCGCTAATAGTAATAACAATGTAACATCAATTATTTCCGATTTTATTTTTTTCAATTTTTTCTAATTAAACTTCTTTTATATTTTATATTTTGTTTGGGGCATATTATCAATAATAAACAAATTTTATGAGCTCAATCAAGAAGAATATATAATCTAACGTTATATGATAATTCAAATTAATAACAAGATAATTTAAAGTTATTTAATACAATTATAAATCTTTAAAACAATGCAGCATTCTTTGATTTGTGTCTGAAGTTCGTGTATTTGTTGTACTGAAATCAAAAGATATAAATTTTTTGGTAACCATCCATTTGAAAATATTTTTCAATTCCTAATTTTTCAGCAAATAATTTTGCTTTTCCTTTAACTACTTTATCTGTAATAATAAGACCTTGAGCACTAACTCTACTAATCCAGAAATTTCATTGGCTTTTGATGAAAAATACTATTACTATGATGAATTAAAATTGGAATATTTATCCTCTTTGTTACCGTTGTGCGTGCAAATGAAATTGTATTTTCTATGATGATAAAATAAATAATTACACACTAAATATTTATGTTGGGTGCAAAATTACGAAAAAATTTTATTTATCATTACCATTCTTTTTACAAGCTGGGCCCAATGTTGTGGCTAATATGACTTGTAGCAAACAACCTTGTTATTTTCTTCAACTAGGTATTTTGTTCATGTTCTGGCAAAATTATGTTACCACTTACCTAAGGATGAAGATGCACAATCTACTATTTAGATATTTTACAGTGAGAATATGCTGCTTATTTCTTTATAATCAAATGGATGCTAAAAGGTTTTGAAAGCTCACATAAAGGGGTGCAAGAGATACTTCAACAGAAATTGCAATGTAATTTTTCAAGTACTCATTGCCTCTTTTCAAATCAGAAGGAGAACAGAGATGATGACATTGCAGTTACCGGTAAAAACAATTGGGTGGCAATTATTGACATATATAGTAATAGATCATTTAAAGCAGGAGTCAGAACATGAAAATTATGAGTATTTTTGGCATTTCTCATCTCTCACCTTTTAATGATAACTGGAAAAAGATCAAATGAAGGAATGGAAAAACGATACTATGATTTAAATCCATTATGCATATTTATTGATCCATGTAATGATGAATCAGACACTTATGTCGCAAGCAAAATTTACTAACAATAGTAAACTGTTCTGGATATGCCATAAATCCAAGCCATCATGGGAACCCTGAATATCTGTTGATGTTAACATTGTTGATTAGCACTTTATGCTTTTGCAGTAACAGCAGGAAGCATAGTATTATTATTTAGTTATATGGTGGTCATTTTAAAATAATAACATAATACCTTATAATATATGTTTTAAGAAAATGGTTTGATAAAATGTGAAACTATTAATATTACCACTGTGTAAATTTAATAAAATTACCAAAAAAGTGATGCAATTTTATTTTTCAAAGTGTGTTAATCTCCATTTTGGATACGCTCAAATACCAATATGTAACCATTTTCATTTGGAGCTTTGTAATTCCGAAACATTAGTTAACAGAAAATAAAGTTTATCTAACTAAAAAGTTGTAAAATAATATTTATGAAAAATAATATCTTTCAAATTTTACCTCATTGCAAATATCTAAGATATACTGTAATTTATAGAATTATTTAGTCTTTTCAGCACAACCTTTTTTAGTAGTATCAAGAACTATATATCAGAACAAGTTAGTTTACAAGGGAATCTTGAAGGTAATGAATATTGTAAACAAGATGAGGGGAGTTGAATTAGAACAAGTAAATATTCAAATTATGCACGGAATTTAAGAGTTTTGTACAATTTTGGCCCAAAAAACCCTTCCAATCTGAGGCAAATAAAATTCATATCGCGAAAAAATTAGCTATGAAACAATTTCAGGAAATAAAAAGTAATATGGGAGCTTTTCTAGCAAAAAGGGGTTTCGACCTCATTTGACCAAAAAATTTTTTTTTACATAATATTGATCT